GGGGTGTCAGTCCTTTGTATCCTGCAGTCACCTGAAGACAAATGGGTCGGCCATGTCCATAAATTTTCTTATGGATCTTTCTTACAGTTTTGTTGCTTTTCATTTTATTTTTTGGTTTTGTTTTCTCTCTCTCGCTCTCACTCTCTCTCTCTCTCTCTCTAAAGCTTTTAAAGATGGGGCTTGGATTTGACCTCGATGCTCACCTGTTGAGGCATACCATTTTTTTGTTTGTTTGTCTGTTTTTATTATGATCATCCTCATTTTATATTTCTTATATATAATATATATTACTATATATATATATGTACATATATATATATATACCTCTGTATGCACCATATCAGTGTAGATACTCATCCAGTAGCATTTAGGCCTTGATATTGTGCCATTTTCTGTTACCGATCTCTGAATGCCTTCAAGTGTATAAAGTGTTGAATTATCTCTGGTATCTGTACTATGTACACACATTTTCATAGGAAGCACAATAAGATGACAGATGCATTGTACATCAAACCTGCTACTCTTAGCAATGATATAAAGGATGGTATAAATCATGAAGACAGCCTTCTTCTCTCTTGCTGGGCTGCAGGAATCAATCTCCCAGGGGCGGGTAGGCACTGCAAACAGGCTGGGCTCCCTGCAGGGCTGAGGTGGACTTCTCAGACAGCTGTGGAGCGAGGACGTGATGCGAGAACAAGCTCCGGCCCTGCCTTAAGTACATGCTTAGATTGTGAGAGTCCCAGAGACTCCAGGCGTCCTTTTGTAACAGCTCCCTTGGATCAGGGGGTCCCAAAGGAGGGGCTGCTGGAAGCATTTCCAGTCCGGGGGACATCTTTTCAGCTATTTACCGGCTTTCTCCTCTGGCGGCGAGTCAGCGATTGGGGAGGTTTGAGCAAAAGCAGTGTTTTCAAGCGTGTAGGAAACACACTTTTCCCATTGTTGATTTGCCTTAGCGTGAGCCCACAAGCCGTTTACTGCTGTAGGTTTGGGGCAAGAACCTGACATTGAAGGAAGAGCCTGTCTCACTTGTCTGACTTAGTCGCCCTTGTGCATGCAGGACCGAGTGTACTGTGCAGACTGGAACATAAACAAGAGCTCTGCCCAAAAGCCTTTTCAGCCGTGTGTTTCTCTATAACAAAGAGCAGTGCATTTAAACTATGCTTGTGACCCACTTCTGTTGGGCCGGGCTGGTGCTAGGCTGGCCAGGAAGAGGGGTTTTTTGTCTAGGAGAGAAATGGTAGAAGCAACATCCTCTGAAAGGAGTTAACAGACCTAAATTAACTGGAGCCAGCCATGAAGCAAACCCCGAGTGCTCAGAGCAGCTGGCAGGCATAGCAATGAGAGGAGAGGATCGCACCCACTCCTGGGGCTACTGCAGTGGTCTGAGGACTGGTGCGGCCGTGGCATGCAAGCTGTCGGCAAGTGCTGCAGCAAGGGTGCACCGTGCCCTTGTGCACAGTCCCTGGCGGTACGAAGAATACAGCTGACTGCTACCTGCCGCCAGCTCAGCTCAGAGCTGGAACCTGGGTTGTGAGGCAAGAGGGACCTGCACTGGGCAAGGGCCTGCGGGCTGGGCAAGTGCAAGGGCAGGGCGCAGCACAGAGACGTACCTCACAAGCCCGGCCTGAGCCTCCTGCCTGGGCTGCTGTGGGCAAACCAGTCACAGTCACTGGCCGTGGCCCCGCAGCCCACTGTCGCTGTCACAGTGCAGCGCCACACGTAAATAAGGGTGTGGAAAAACTTGAGAGGGTCCAGAGAAGAGGCACCCGTATGATCAGGGACTTGCAAGGCAAGCCATATGAGGAGAGGCTGAGGGACTTGGGCCTCTTAAGCCTACAGAAGAAAAGGTGGAGAGATGACTTGATAGCGGCTTATTGCTATATCAGAGGAGTGCATCGGGAGCTCGGTGAACAACTGTTCATGAGGGCACCCCTGGGGAAGACCAGGGCCAATGGGTACAAACTCCTGGAAGGCCATTTCAGGCTTAATAGCAGGAAAAACCCAGGTGTCCAGACTGTGGAATAAACTCCCTCCAGAGGTGGTGCAGTCACCTACCCTGGAGGTTTTCCAGAGGAGACTGGACAGCCACCTCGCTGGGGTCACCTAACCCCAGTTGTCTTCCTGCCTAGTGCAAGGGGCTGGACCCAATGATCTGCACGGTCCCGTCCAGCCCCTAACATCTATGAATCTATAGCCATGGACACTGCTGCCTCCGAGCAGGTGGACGGCAGAAAACCACTCAACCCCTTGTCAGGAGCGATATGGCTGGAAAAACAAGGTCCCCACGGCTATGGGGATGTTAGCAGAAGAGGAGCAAATGTGCCCAGACCCACGGCCTGGAGCAGCGTGGGGCCAGGACGCAGTGTCCGCCCACACACGAGGGGGAAGGCGACTGCCCAGCACCAAGTCCCATTCCCGGTGGCCACGGGCCCCAGCACCATCTGGGTTCAGGAGGGTGCGGAGCTGGCCTTCAGCTCAGCCTGCTCCTAGAGTCTGGAGCACGCTGCAAAGACTCATCCAAGGTCTACATTTCTTTTGAGCTCAGGTCGGGGGAGTGAGCTCAGCTCACCGGCAAGGTGTAATGGTGAGGAAGGGGGTCGCGGGTGTGCTCCCTGCCCCTAAATCACCAAACAGCACCCGCTTCCACCTGCACTGCACAGCCAGCACCCGTAGGACTCGGGCGTCCCACACAGCCCCACGGGACCCCCCCGGGCACTGAGGGGGCTCGACAGCCCGGAGCCAGTTTCATCCAGGGGAGACTTGGATGATGGCGAGGGCTGCTGTGCTTCTCCGGGGAGGTCGGTTGGGGGAAGACAGGTGGCTTTAGACTGATGGAGCCGGCAGGGAGAAGCCCATGCTGGGGCCCTGCAGGCAGCTGGGCTCAGGCCCCAGCGGTGGGACAGCACCCTGCTCACAGGGCCCTCCTCCTTTCTCCTCCGGGTCAGTGGATCACAACTCCCGCCGAGACTGCGACAGCGGTGCCAGCCCCTGCCAGAGATGGGGTGACCTTGGGCCTGATGCAGCCAGGAGGCGGGGTGACGTCACGGGCCTGGGGACCATTTCAGAGCAGCCCACCCAGCGGGGACGCACTGGGCCGTTCCTGCGGGGTCCCGGCCCCTCGCTGGACGTGGCGCAGACCCGCGCCGCAACGGTGGGACGGGGCAGTCAGGCAGCTGGCCCCGACAGCGTGGCTCTTGCCTGCCTCTGCCTCGAAGGACCGTGGCCCTGCAGTCTCCGGGGCAGCGCACAAGGGGTGCTCCTCCTCTCACCCTTACGCCACAGACAGCTAGGGCTGGGTGGCACCAGCCCAGCCAGACCTTCCTCTGCCTGGCCTGAAACACCTGCAAGGAGCGGGGCAGCCTGCTCCGGTTTGTCCTCAACCACCTGGACCCATTGCTCCGTCCGCCGCCACTGAGGCCAGCCCAGCGCCCCGCCCCGCCAGAGGGCGCGCGCCGCTGCCCCTGGGGCGCTCTAGCCCCACCCCGGCGCCGCGCTCTATGGTCAGCTTCCGCTTCCGGCGCAGCGCCTCTCCCGCCGCCCGCTTTGTGCGGCACAAGATGGCGGCGCGGGCTGGCTTCCAGGCCGTGGCTCCTAGCGGCGGCGGCGGCGGGGCGGCCGCGGGG